TAATGCTACAACTGAGATTAATGTAGAACTAAATCAGTTTCTGTTTGCCTTCATAACACACTGTGGTGAGTTGACTCTGCCTGGGCACCAGGTATCTGCCCACCAAACTGGTCTATCACTTGCCCCCTCAGCAGGACAGAACAGTGAGAAAATAAGATAACCTTTCTAGCTACCAGTACAAAGCACAGCACAATGAGAGCTGTTATGGGGAAAATTAACTCCATCCCAGCCAGACCTAATACAGATGTTAAAGGACTGATTATTATTTAACAACTGCATCCATCAAATTAAACAATATGCTGGTATTCTTCATGAAAGTGACTTTTCTGGTGTTTTAAATTTGAGGAATTTTAAATGCCTAGTTCTAAGAAGTAGGATAATTTGATAGAAGACTTTATGCTTTAACAGTAAATATATGGAGTGTGGTTTCTGGTAGAAAAACTTGTGGAATGAAAATCCCATGTAAATTTTTCGTTAGCACTCTGCCATTAAATCTCTCTCAAAAGTTCACAGACAATGTAAGGCTTACAAACATGATTTGAGAATATTCATCTTAGTGTCAGTGACATTTTCAGGAAAAAGTAGGCTGAAGTTGGAAGTACTTACTAATATAATGCTGAGGAGTACAGCGATAACCAGGCTGTCTTAGTTTTTATGGAAAATGGACTCGGTTTTTCCACACGGTTTGTAAGGGGCTTAGTGTTCTTGTTTATATCAGATTAGAATGATGCAGGGACTGGAAGTCATTAAGGTACAGAAATAGGAACCAAATAAGTATCTCACATCAGGATTAACAATGTTACTGTTATATGATAACTCTCTTCTCCTTTTTCTCACTTTTCTCCTTCTCTTTTCTTGCAAAGAATCAGACAAACCCCTGTCCCCAAACCAGCAGCACTCTACATTTTAATTTGAACTCACAGTAGGATACAGATAATGCTGTTTAAGTTCAGTCGTAATCCAGTCGGAGTTGACGTTGGTGTGTAGCTTTTTTGGTAATGACACCAAAATAATTATTATGTGGTGACCTTTAAAGAAGAAAGATTTTTTTAATTTATCCTATCATAGATATTTATCTATATTGAACCTGTTTGAGTACTCTCAGGCTAAATATTGTCTGTCATATTATATTAAACACAAGATAATTACTGTTTGATGTACAGAGACAGTGGAAGAAAGAATGTGTGGGATTAACTTCAATAAGTGTGTTTTATTCCGTATAAATTGGTTGGTTTTTTACAACTATTTATAATAAATTTGCATCATGCCTGAGAATTGCAAACATTCTTTAGTTACATTATGGAATGTGTAGGTGTATACATGGTTCAGATGGGCTAAAACACTAAGCTTTGCCCGAATTGCTTGTGAAATATGACAGGAAAGATGTCTTAGGGGAAATGTAGGCACTCATATGAAAGGTTGATTTTGTGTGCTTACTGAAATTGCATTCAAAATCTTTGGGTTCACTAGCAGTGCACACATTATACAACTCAATTCTAAGTGATAAAAATGTTGGTTGCTTTTTTAAACTTCATAAATAAATGCACTTGCAATACCTGTGTTACAGAATTGTTGCAAGGATTACCCGGGTAGTTACTGTTGTTGCCAAGGCTTTACAAAGTGTTGCATTTTAATTTCGTTCACAATTTTAAGATGCTTAAAACATTCTAAAACTTCTAGGTTTGGCAGGATAATAAAAAGATGTATTTTAAATTTTAAATGAAGTATAGCTACTTTGATGAAATAAAAAAAAAAAAGTTCCTTTTTTTTCCTTTGCCCATTGAAATGCAATTCTAGCCTTTCTTTTTAAAATGGGCTTTCTCTATTATTTTATTTTTTAAAAAAATATTTATTTCTTTACTAATTTTATTTTTCTTTATTTTACTTTTAAAGTCTAGAGAAATGTCAGCCTTTTTTTTAGTCTTCAGAAGATAGGAACAGTTGTACAACTCAGTGTTGTAAATTCTCTTTTCTATTTGCTTGGGACATGATACTTTCTTTAGTATGACTAGAAACATCATAAAGATTAGCTTCAGTATATATGAACCATTTCTTTTCACTAGACTGAGTTCATAGTCATAGAATCTGCTGCACTATGTGTCCATGAGCAGATGGATTCCATTGTCGTTGTCACAGTCAAGAGGTATTTTATTCTACTAATAAAGTAATTTCATTGTTAATTCTCTACTTTTCTTGGGACAATGAAATTTGAGAGCAACTTAATAACTTGGAGGCCTTTTTTCCATAAAACTTTTTTATACAAGTAACAGTTTGAGACTGTGTCTATGAACAGATTAAAGATGTCTAAAGAGACTTGTTATGATTTTGATAAAGTATCTAGGTAATAACTGCCTATTAACATGAAAAAAAATTGGGTTTGAGTTGCAAAATTAGTTTCTTCTTTGTAAAATGCAAAAAGTTGTCATAATAGGACTGGAGTACTCCACGCTTAAATATTCAAATTTTAAATTTATGGGTGAACTTTCAAATGTGAATTCAAGATGTGCATTTAACTTGTTGCTTAACAATATTGTTTATTTTAGCTTATTTTATGTTCATAATTGTGAGTTCTTAAGTTTATTTGAGAAAAATAGAATTCCACCTAAGTAATGTCTTTGAGTTACTTGGGCAAGATATTGTTTATGTTTGATTTTTATTACAATGCCTACATCTAGCTTGAGAATTGTTAAATATGCTAATATTTAATATGGTAAAATATAAGAAAATACACTAAGTGTGGGGTTAAATGCAACTGATACTGTCATGTTGATAAAAACATTTTTTAATAAGCAGAAGTGCATTAAAAATGCCACAAACACACGTGTTTTCTCTTGTTAAAAAATGTACTTGATAGGTAGGAATGACTATCTCCTAAAGGGTGTTTGCACACAGATTTTTATCTCATACCTTCAAAAACCTAAACGTTCAGATCTGTAGGTTGTAGTTTTTCTGGGGTAGTGATGGCATTGATGTATACATTCATCTATACAGATAGGTAATAAAAGGATGATAATCTCAGCAATAACTCAAAAAGAAAAAACAACATAAAGAAGGAAATTTTTTAATAGCTCAATTTTTTTTTCACAGTAGCTGAAAACTGTAACAGTGGAAGGTACGTATCATAGGGTTTTTCCAGTCTTGTGAACTGATGTGTTTTCCTGCTGTAACAATGAAATTAACTGTGTACTTTATAAAACAAAGCACTGTGTCATTTCTTGTTCTTTCCCAGTGCATGAGGAAATTTCCTGGTGTGTGAAGAAATAAGAGATTCCCCCACCTAAAAAATCAAGCACATGTGATCTATTCGTAAAGATGAACCAATATATCTAACGAGGAAATCTATTTAAAGTAGTCTGCTTATTTGAAATAAACTTCTAATGTAAATACACCTGTATTGGACCAGAACCCCAGACCTGTTCCAAGCGTGGGAGTTGGTGAAGTTTAGGAAAGAGACCATCTGGACTATGAGTGCTTTGCTTTTCTTCAGGGAGAGCATACCTGTGAAAGAACCACCAGGGCCACAAATGTTTGCTTTATGGAGAACTGGTGTGAAGCAATTTTGAAGAGGGGAAAGGAAGAATAATACATTTTTCAAAGAAAAATCTATGTTTACTTTGTTCACACAGGTCTGTGAGAAAGCATTAAGTTGAATTGGTGCCTTTTATCTAAGAAGAGATTTCTTTATAGAATGATCAAAAAGTATCTATGTGGATAAAAGATTTTTTGTTCTTTAGATTCCCCTTTAGAGAAAGGAGAACGGAGGATTACAGTAATTTGAAGCAGAGACTATGAAGTGTAGGCAAGAGATATAGGAGGGGTAGGTTTTCAATTATTTCTAGATTTTTTTAATGTAATGGATAGGTTAAGCATAGGAACAGCTTTTCCAGTGCTGAGTAGAGTCATCTTTGCAATCAGCTTTCTCAAAGACACTACTGCTAAAGAGAACACCTGGACTGTGGGCTGACATGAGGTGAACTGTAGATAAAGGCTGAGATCGGATAGTAATGATTCCTTCTGGCTTTAAAATTCAGGATTATGTACATAGTTCATATAGTTGAAATGGTAAGAAAATTTTCTCCGTATGACCAACTTCTTTCCTGTATTAAAAAAACAAGACCATATCATCCTCGAAGTCTTTTTAAGTATGTAAGAGGCTAAACAACTGGCCAACTCTGATTAGCAGGTGTCACCACCATTCAGTCTACAGAAGCCTGTCTACATGAACATGTAGACATGAGAGATTACATCAAGTTCAGTAAAAGTTTGAAACAATTAAATAGGATTTTTATCCAGCATTTTCTAGCAAGTAAAAAAGTTTGTTAAGTTAGTAGTGACCAAGCAGCCATTAAATTTACTATCTGAGCAGAGATACATACTTAACAGTTATTCAGAGCATCTCATAGTTCTAGGACCCAGTTATGTACTGTCTTAGTACCTGGTCTTCTTGGGAGGCTCACAGGGACAGAGAGCTTCACTGAAGTAAGCTTCTCCAATAAGTGTTCTGTTTCTTTTCTCCTTGATAACACATTTTGATGCTGTTATATCTGTAGCTTATATTGTATTTATGGGTTTCTGTTGTTCAACACCATGTGTCATCCTAGCTCCTCCATATCATCTCAGTGTTTCTAACATCTTGTACTTGTTATTTCTCACAAATGTGGTAACAAATAATACTATAAGTATTACTTCTATGGAAAACTGCGCACATAATAAGTTTTAGTATCCTCCCATTTTTTCTGTTAAAGATTTGTAAGTAAAATAATTTGCAAGTTTTCTTTCTTTTACTTTGCACTGATGCTGTTTAGATTATGAAAATACAACAAGTGATTAACAGCTGTTTGAAAAAATTTACATCTTCTACCACAGAGATTCTCTTCTGACAAAGGTATTAATTTGAGTCGGATAAATATCATCAACGTAAAAACCGTATCCTATTTGTAAAATCATAGAATCATCTGGGCAACCTCTTCCAGGGTCTCACCACCTTCGCAGTGAAGAAGGTCCTGTTTAACACCTTTATCAATGACCTGGATGAGAGGATCAAGGGCACCCTCAGTCAGTTTGCAGACGACACCAAGTTGGGCAAGAGTGTTGATCTGCTGGAGGGTAGGAAGACTCTGCAGAGGGATCTGGACAGGCTGGATCGATAAGCCGAGACCAAATGTGTGAGGTTCACAAAGACCAAGTGTCGGATCCTGTCCTTGGGTCACAACAACCCAGGCAGTGCTACAGGCTGGGGCCTGTGTGGCTGGAAAGCTGTCCAGTGGAAAAGGATCTGAGGGTGCCGATCAACAGCAGCTGAACATGAGCCAACAGTGTGTCCAGGTGACCAAGAAGACTGGTGGCATCCTGGCTATCAGCAATAGTGTGGCCAGCAGGACTAGGGCAGTGATTGTCCCCCTCTACTCAGCACTGATGAGGCCACACCACAAATCCTATGTTCAGTTCTGGGCCCCTTGCTACAAGAAAGACATTGAGATGCTGAAGTTTGTCCAGAGAAGGGCAACAAAGCTGATGAAGGGTCTGGAGCACAACTCTTATGAGGATCAGCTGAGGGAGCTGGGATTGTTCTGACTAGAGGAAAGAAGGCTCAGGGAAGATTTTGTTGCACTCTACAACTACTTGAAAGGAGATTGTAGACAGGTGGAGATCGGTCTCTTCTCCCAGGCAACAAGTGATAGGACAAGAGAAAATAGCCTGAAGTTCTTCCAGGGGAGGTTTAGACTGAATATTAGGCAAGATGTTTTCACTGAAAGGGTGGTCAAGCATTGGAACAGGCTGCCCAAGTTAGTGGTTGAATCATCATCCACAGAAGTGTTCAAAAGATGTGTAGATATTTCATTTAGGGACATGGTTTAGTGGTGGACTTGGCAGTATTAGGTCAAAGGTTGGACTTGATGATTTTAGTGGTCTTTTCCAACCTTAATAATTCTATAATTCTATGATTCTAATAGTTTCTTCCTAATATCTTATCTAAACCTTTCCTCTTTCAGTGTAAAGCCATTACCCCTTGTCCTTGTAAAAAAAAATCCCACTCCAGCTTTCTTTCAGGCTTTAAGTACTGAATAGCTGCTCTAAGGTCTCCGTGGAGCCTTCTCTTCTCCAGGCTGAACAAACCTGTCTTCATAGGAGAGGTGCTGTAGCCCTCTGATCATCTTTGTGACCCTCCTCTGGACTTGCACCAACAGGTCAATATCACCCTTGTGTTGGGGAACTGCAGACCTGGATGCAGTACTCCAGTTGGGGTCTCAGGAGAGAGTAGCAGAGGGGCAGAATCACCTACCACACTGCTGGCCACACCCCTTTTGATGCAGTTGGTTTTCTGGGATTCAAGCACATGTTGCTGGGTCATGTTGAGTTTCTCGTTGGCCAGTCCCCACAGACCTTCTTCTCAGGGCTGCTCTCAATCCATTCTCTGCCCAGTCTGTATTTGTGATCAGGACTGCCCCAACAAGATGTAGGATCTTGCACATGGCCTTATAGAACTTCATGGGTTTTGCACAATCCCTTGGGTTGGCATCCCTTCCCTCCAGTGTGTCAACCACACCACACAGTTTGGTGTAGTTGGCAAACTCAGTGTGTATGTGCTCAATACCACTGTTCATGTCTCCAACAAAGATGTTAAACAGTGTTGATCTCATATCAACCCCTGAAGAACTCCACTCATCACTGGTCTCTACTTGCACATGGATCCATTGACCACAACTCTTTAAGTGTGACCATCCAGCCAATTCCTTATCCACTGAGTGGTCCATCCATCAAATTCATGTCTCTCCAGGTTAGAGACAATGATATTGTGTGGGACAGTGTCAAATGCTTTGCAGAAATGCAGGTGGATTGCTCTTCCATCATCCACCAATACTGTAACTCCTTCATAGACGGCCATCAAATTTGTCAGGCACAATTTGTCCTTTGTGCCATGTTGGCTGTCACCAATTACCTCCTTCAGACAAACTTCAGAACTTTTCATAATTTCTAAATAAAACCTAGACTTTTTCCAAGTATTTTGTCTTAGAGTCCAAGCTTGAGAGTTCAATAATCAGCTGGAGTGGAAACAGAGGATTAGAAATTTTAATATTTACAAAGGGACAAAATTTATGACAAATATTAGATAAAAAAATCTGTTTAAAGGCAAGCCAGTACTGCTACATATACTTTATTTAGCTTATCTGCAGTATATGTCTTATGAATGGGAACTTGAGCTGTCCATATAGAATCTGAATCAGCATTTTAAGTGATAGATTTTAAGATTGTCTTATTCCTAAATTTCATGGTTATCTCAACCCTTTATGCCCCCACCAATGGGATAGAGGGGAGAAACAAGAAAGAAAAGAAAATAGAACTCGTGGATTCAGATAAGAACAGTTTAATAATTTTAAAAAAGTAAAAGACAACAATAATAACAATAAAACTGTTACTACTAATAATAACTGTAATTAAAAAAAAAAAAAGAGAGAGTTAGGTAAAACCCAAGAAAGACAAGTGATGCACAATACAATTGCTCACCACACACTGACTGATGCCCAGCCTGGCCCTACGCCATGATCAGCCCTCCCTTTCAGGTAACCCACCCCAGCATTACACTCCAGTGGATGGAATATGCCTTTGGACAGTTTGGGTCAGCTGTTCCAGCTATGCTCCCTCCTGGTGTTTTGTGCAGCTCCTTACTGGCGGAGCATGAAACACTGAAAAGTCCTTGACATAGGGTAAGCACTTAGCAACAACCAAAACATCATTGTTGTATGAATATTATTCTTGTACTAAATTCCAAAACACAGCACTGTACCAGCCACAATGAAGAAAACAAACTGTATGCCAGCTAAAATCGGGACACCAAAGTATTAAACTATGTGTTCTATCCATATTTACACTTCCTTTTCAGCGATGTGAAACTAATTGGCCACTGCAGTCATTTCCACAGTTATCTTTTATGTAATGTCTGTCCTTGTCCAGAAAACCAGCTCTGCTCCAGCTTTGCTCTAATTGTCTTCTAAGGGAATTTCCTCTTCCTCTACTCCATCTGACTGGCACAGCCAAGAAGTATGGCTATGGCTCCCATGACTCTTGAAGAAAATGGGAGAATCTCTGTCCAGTTTTATATTAGCATCGTGTTGTTCAGTTGGGATAAAAAAATATTTAACAATTCATGGTATTACTTTAGTAAGTATGAAAGCAAAAATGAATTCTTTTGACTGAAAGATCACATTTTACCTCCAGTTGAAAGACAATATTTTGGAAGTCAGACAAATATAAAGTTACTGAATATGTCTTTCTCTAATCTTGGTGTTTCATAAAATTGTGTATTAACATAGTACGTGAGTGCTATGTATACATATCCAGACACAGTGCCTTTGTTTTTTCACCATGCCTCCCTGGACTTTTGGAGGTAAGTGAAAAACTTTGGGGTTAGTGAAAAAAAAAGTTAGGAGCAGAGGATATTATTCCCAAGGTAAATGTAATTTAGAAGGGCGTAATTTTTTTACAAGAGGTTTATGAATAATTTCTTGAAGACTTTAGGTTTGTTTATTCTACTCTGATGGATTGTTCTACTGAGAAGATTCTCCTACTCTTCTGCTTTATATTTCCATAGTTAAATAGAAATAGAGTGGTTATAATTCCTAGTTATAATTCCTAGATCCTATTTTGCCTTTTGAGTCAAATGACAATTGATGTGTTTCTTGCTTTCACTATTAGGTCGAAATTTTGTAAACTAGAAGCTGACAAAGCAGACTGTAGAGAGTGGCCTTAGCAGAGGAGGATATAGGTGATAGCACAATGCTGATAGCAGAATGCTGATGAAACTTGTTTCTCTCTTTGTCATCAGTTTTAGGTGCAGTAAGCTTGAAAATTTAAGTTAATGAAGGAAACAGTAGTCATATTTTTATACGAGAACAGTGCTTCCTATTGAAATAGATATGAAGTAATTTTTATAAAATTATTTGATTGCTTAGGCTAACTACTTTTAATAGTCATTAACAGCAATTAACATGTTAATATTTTTTATATTTTTCAAATTGAAGAAAACTGTTAGACAGAAAAGTTAACTATGATATAAACACAGGTTAATTTTAATTAAAGAAACCACCTAGATTATTCTCAAAACATTTCTTGAAAGGAAGATTGATGCAGAAGAATTTTGCTATGATTTGTTTAAATATGTATATACTTAATATTTTCCAATAAGTAAGTTCAAGGAACTTCCAAAAGTTCTCTAAATACTCTTCTACTGATTACTGTGGTTGTTAAGTTGCATCCTTAAGAGACTTCCCTTCTGTACAACTTTCTGCAAACTTTGGATAAATGTCTGCAGAACTCCCTCATACAATAGATGGCACTGCGAATCTCGCAAGCAGCCTGAACCCTAGGAAAGGCAGTCTGAGTTCTGGACTCTCAGGCTGGACTTCCATCCTTTCTTGTTTGCAAAGGACAAGTGCCAACCTGTACCTTGTCATCCACTTATTGACAGTTTAGGTCTCTTTTTAGTGAGAGAGGAATAGCAGAAATCTCTGGCTTCTCCATAAACTCCTCCAGCATGTTTGACTCTGCAACAACTGAAAGGGTCAGGCAATTTGAACTAGGAATCAGAGAGAAAATTGAGAATAGGTGCTACATTAATGCTGAATTAAGGGAATTAAGGAAATTAATGCATAAAATCATGTAGCTCCTGAAATATAAACGCTTCTTACATTCTTGCTGGTGTTGCTAAGCTAGTGAACAAGTGTTAAAAATTGACTCTTTCAGCATGTATTTAAATGGTTGAAGGATTTTGCAATTCTAACTGCCCCAAGTTATCAGCTTTGTGCAGGCACCTGCCCTGCACATGTGTAACTCAGTTTACAAATATGTGATTGCTTGTATAACTACAGCTAATAAAATATACCTCCTACATTCATTATCATAGGTCCTGCTTCTCTAGTTACTTCACTAACTTCCTAAAATCTAAATTTATTTTCAAATCTAATTTTAAAATGTTGATTTTTGTTGTTTGTTTGGTTTTTTTCCCTGAACATATTTTTGTCTTTGCTGGCTTTTTATGTCAGTGCTTTTGTTGTTGTTGATGTTTTTTACTTGAGCTTTGTCAGGGAACAGACAAAATATTTCTTGGACAGATAAGTTTATTGACTTCTTATAAGTGG